CTCACATGAAGTGAAGTACCAAGAATGGTCCTCCATCATATTTGGTCTGAGAATCCTTGGCATGATATTAGTTTCATGTCTGATAATTATGGGATGTTATCCCTTATCTACCATTATTTGAAAAAGGTGTTATTAGACACAAAGTTGTGAAATATAATCATATTGGTCTCATAATAATCTCATTTAACTTTTCTCTCTAACGCAAAATATTTTAACTTTGGTGCACATGTTTTAGTAAATGTTCCTTAATTGCTCATTTACATTTTTTTAATAATCTTACAATTTTTAAAATACAAATAAAAAAATTCACATAAAAATATATAATTAATTTACACACTACTTTTTTTTTCACGCATTGTTTTACTCAATGTCTTCTTTGTGTAATTTTTAAACATTTTTTAATAAATTTATATATAAAGAGATCTGTTTATTATAAGAGTAAGTCTATATAGACTTATTATATTTAATAATTAATGTTCTACGTCAAATTTCAATGATTCAATTGTTAAATTTAAAGTTTTTAATGTATATATCAAGTTTACAAGTTTTTTAAAATTTAAAAATTATTTGATTACTTCATTTTAATAATTCAAATCAATGTTTAAAATGATTATTCGTTAAATAAATTGACTTACTCCTAAAGTAAACAGATATCTTCTTTATATATAATTCATTATACATTTTGCATAAATTGATACATGTTGTTAGTAAAAATTTCATAATTTTATGTCTATTAAGCGAAGATTATTAGATTTTTTTAAAAAATTACAATTTTAAACTATAAAAAATCAAATAAAAATTCTTTCATAATTTACTTCCCTTGCATCACAGGGTCAAAATACAGTCTTATTTATAAACATTAAGTGATAAAGATTAAACTCCATCGTATAAGGAAAAATAATAATTCAATCTAATTAAGGAAGTTAGTTAACATATATTTATTGTATTAATTACATTTACAAAATAACCTAATTTTCTGAAATACCTTTTCTTAAAACTTGATATCATTACAAGAAAAATATTTATTGTTAATAGATTTTCTCTAACAAATTTATATTTGTCCGAAAAATAATATTAGCAACGGATTCAAGATTTATAGTTAAGCAAAATTTATCTAAGGATTATTTTGACGGATTTATATATGTAAAAAAATTAAAATTTTCAAACAAATATTACCCGTAGATAGGGATGTGAATAGACCAAGTCAGGTCGAGCTTTGAATATATAGGTTAAGTCTGTTCTACAAAATTAAAATCTAAGTTTAGCCTATTATTTAT